ACAACAGGATCTAGAACCAGTGACTTTAAGTTCGTATCATCTTACAACGACAGCACGCTTCCGGCTGATCAGACTCTGAAAAAAAGCCCAACAGACTTTGATGATGCGTTTGGAGATGAGGATATTTTACACGAGGTATGAAAAGTCTTTTAAAAAATTATAATCACGCTTGACTTTTAGACTATTGACATGTTTGACAAAAGGTAACAGTCTTTTCAAAACTTTTCACGCCAAGTTGATGTTTCTTTGATTTTTAATCATAAGTAATATTTCAGCCGATAATTTAAGTGGTTCACCAATATTGTTTTAACATTTGCTTGAATTTTAACATAAGATAGTTTCATAAGATTTATCCACCCAGTTTTTTTTTATTTATACAAACGAAAACACAACATGCCTTATTTCTAATTAGCATATTCACAAAATCCAATTTGCAGCATGTTTTAACCGGGTTTTCTCTACTTTTGATACTTCTTTCTTTAATCTCTTTCAAGTTTGCTGTCCATGGTGCTGAAACGTTCTGGCTTACATTTTTCTATTCAAGTGATGATATTTATATCGGTGTTGTTTTATATTTTATTTTATATTTTCACAAATCAGCTCATTAGAAAACGACGTTATTACAGTTATTCTTTTGATAGTTCATACATGAATATTTCAGTTTCATATCTTCCAATGGATCTAAAATAGTCTTATTCTCAGAATTCAGCATAAGTCAGGTCTATACGAGTTTTGCATCAGAGCAGTTTAGTCTTCTTATTCCTTATTGTGTACCATAAGAGTGTTGTTTTTTTGCGATGATTTATTCGGCATGCATGTTCATAAAAAAGTCTGAAAAAAAACACAGTAATTTGAATAACTTCCTTTTTTTCGTGTAGTTTTCTAATGACTCCTTTTTTAGTAAAGATTTCCATATTTTACAATGGTATTGTATTCTTCAACAGAAAATGTATACATCTCAGTCATCCCATAACAGACGTTTATTTTTTCTTTCAAGTTACAGTTCTTGATGCGTTTAAGTTTCAGATGAAACTAAAGCATTATTTGGTAAACTGTTGATCACTGTCTGCATGCTTCAGTCTGATGTTTAAAAGTATGTCATGCTGCTAATGTCTACTCAGTGCTACTAATTTGATTCTAATTTAAAGCTACTGAAACACATCTCACTTTACTTCACCATTATCATTTGTCTTCAAGATTTCCGTTGTACTTTCATTGAGCATTCACTGTTGAATGTTTTACTACAATTACAAAGTTCTGTGCTTGATCCTATGTGGTCTGTCAGCTATGTGCAGGTTAAATTTAACTGCAGACGTTTACATTAATAGTGCTTGTCTAAGATCTTGAGGTGTGGTTTTCTACTTTTTTGCTCTG